AGCAGCCTACCCACACACCAGCAGTGGTCAGCACAGCTTACTATGCGTCCTCCTTCCTGGAGCTATAAGAGCCAGGATTGTGTGAAGCCTTGCCACAGCCATCCTCAGAATGTCACACCTCACACCCCAGTCCCTCGGTTGATCTGTCGCTGGGTTTTGTTCTCATCTGGTTAACAGAATTTGGCATTCAGCTCCCGACCCTTACTTTGGACAGGTGAGTCCACGGGACCATGGAATTATCCACAAGCCTGATGACAGCGGCATGACTGTGTCCTAGCAGGGATAACTTCGTTAGGTTAGTGGTCACCACAATCAAAGTCACTGTCACCAAATGCCCGTTAGCTGTACTGTGCCCATTTAACTCCACTTCTCATTTCTGTCAATACACAAACACAAGCTTTGCCTGAGCGGTCCAGACGGACAGGCCATCTTGGGTTGCTTCTTCCTTACTCTTTCCTCGTACACATTTTCAATGTGATCCACACTGCAATGACTTCTGATAGCATCACACACACAGAGGAGCCCCCATGTGCCTGGACAGCAGGCCACTGATATGGAACCATTGTGTTTCATTCAGAGCCCTGAGGTAATGGATGTTACCTACCTCCGCATTTCAACGTGAGACTCATGGTTGACATGGAAGTTGGTTGGTGCATCTGATAGGTCTCTAGAACACTGAAATGGCAAGAAATCAGCAGGCTGTGTGCTCTGAGGGGTGAAAGGAGGGGCCGCCGTATGGTCAAGACATGTATAGACATAGAAGCACAAAGAAATGTGTAGATTCTCATGGGCCAGTGTGAACTCTCAGGGGTGGTCTCAAATCCTGTCTTCATGTGACTCTAGCAGAAGCTCTTTCTACATTCCCAGAAAATGTGCTAGAATAAGGTGGTGAGTTCCTCGGAAAAGTGCTTACAATTGTCCGAATTTCATTTAACACATAACAACTTGACAATCATTGGAAACACTTAAAATATTCAACTTTCAATTTGAGAAGACCTCCGCCCATCTGCCCTCACAGCTACCCCAGCCTGCTTCGAGGAATCTCCATTGCAACCAGGTCAAGCTGTTCCCAGGCCAGCATAATCGCCCTGAGGTCAGATGGGCCCCTACTGAGAAAACAGGATATCTGTCACCCTGAGACCAGATGGGTCCCTGATGATGAGAAAACAGGATATCTGTAGTCAGATACCTGGAGGTCAGCCTTCGGCAGATAGGAAGACAAAAAGGGAGCAGGAAGCCCAGAGTGGACTGCCTTAACTTATTCCCATGTACTCAGGAAGCCCAGAGTGGGCTGCCTTAACTTATTCCCATGTATTCAAGATGAATAGACAACCCGTCCCTGACCTGACCCCACCGTTTTATCTGAAATAACCATTGAGAATGCATCCGCTTCTGCCGCTTCCCATCATCATTTGAAATAACCATTGAGAATGCAGCCGCTTCTGTAAGCTCGCTTCTCGCTATACAACCAGCCCTGAATTTAGCCCAGCACGAGCAGTCACCCGAAGGCAGTAGTGTCTGCCAGGCGCCTGTGTGAATAAAAATACCTCTTGCTTTTGCATCCAGTGCAGACTAGTCTTGGTTCTTGGGCGTCGTGGTCCCCGAGGGGAAAACACCCGAATCGGGTATCTTTCAAATTCATTAGTGTGAAATATCAATCCATTTATTTTTGCTTTTAGTAAGTGAGGATTTGAGATTTTTGTTGTTTATTTGTTTGTTGTTTGAGACAGTGTCTCACTATGCATCCTTGGCTGGCCTGGTGCTCACTCTGTAGAGGGGCAATAAAAGCAGTCGCAAGATGTTTTTATCCACGGAGCAGGGAGGAGCTAGCTATCTGCTAAGAAGGTCTGAATAGTTAATAAGAAAAATATAATGAAATAATTCAGTGATTAGATTCCATATGCCTAGCGCCTTCAAAATAATTGACAAATTTAATCGAATTTAGCATGCAATTTTAAAAACAGACTGTAATAGTTGCCCATTATATTCCCCTAATGCTTACTAAGGAATGATTTGCTCGAATCACTGTTTGCTTTAAGAGAAATTGTGTCTCAATTGTGGACGGAAGGAAGAAACCATTCCTCGGGAATTGAGTAAGGGTTTGTACATTAGCGGGTCAAAGGTGCAGCCCAGCCCAGGAGGGGTCTCCCGTCCATCAGCAGAGGACAAGGTGGGGGTCAGGAAGATGTACCAGGAGCAGCGCTAGAGCTGAGCTAGACTCCAGATGTCTGAAAATGCTATCACTATTCCATTCTACCAGAGAGCTCAGAAAAAGACACCCAGCAGCCTGTGGAAGTGAAAACCTTCCTTCCTCCTTAAACGTCTTCCTCCCATGTCTCTGTAAATTAATTGTCCATTGCTAATGGTGAAGAATGAGATCTGGTAAATACCTACATTGGTTGTGTTAGTTTGCCGACTGACAAACTTTCAGACAGGAGGGAGTGAGCAAAGGAGGTCCACCAAGGGGGACGCTTAGTGTGCAGGACAGGAGAGGGTAGACACGTGACTGACAGCCTGGCTGAGCCCCATTGGTGGTGCCAAAGAATTGTGGCTTCCAGCTCACCCTGGACTGCAGTGCAGCCTTCCGCGGTGCGTTTTCAGTGCCCTCTACTGTTTACCACTGTAACTGTCGCTAGGCTGACTGTTAGCTCAGATCAAGTATTGAAGGAGGGATTTAGAGCCAGTAGGTCATACAAGCAAAACTTTCAGGGTGGCCCTTTGCAAGACTGCCTCTTCCTCCCTGGTTTATATAGCACTTATCCTTGGCCTTCATCATCTGACCATGCACTACATAAAATATAGGCATACATCACATAAAGATAAGTGATATATAATGTACATACAGCACATTATATGTTATCTAAGGAATGAGGAAACATGTATGCTGTTTCTGTTTGCCTTCCTTCACATCATGCTTTGAGCATGACTCTTCTTGTGTGTCAGGTATACTTTCATGTGAACAGCATGACGTCGTGTCTCTGTTGTTAGCTGGAGTGGATTCCGCTGTTCCCTACATTCTCGCCAATATTTGCTGTTTGTCTCCTCGACAATAGCCCCTTTGTTTGGGAGAGATGGAGCCTGACTACAGATTTTGTGTGCGTGTCCCTGAGAGCTACAGAAGTTGACTGTTTTCTTCATAGATTTATACAGTAAATACTTCTGAGAACTATCTAATTAGTTTGTAATATATTGTTTTCTGTTGCTGTTGTTCTTCATTCTGGATACGAATCCCAAGTCAAAAGTACAGCTGACAATTCATCTCCTTCTGGTATGCTGTCTCTTCACTCTGAGGTTATTTCCACTCTGCAGAAGTTTTAAAACTGTCTGCAGTCCCATCTGCCAGTTCGTGTTCATCCTTCCTGAGCTGGTGAAGTGTAACATGAGGGCCAGCTTGTTGGGGTTTCTGTCCCGCCCAGTACCCCACAACCAGCAAGGTCCAAAAGAAAATCACACACAGGACTCCATAAGATTATAAAACTGATTGGCCCATTAGCTCAGGCTTCTTATTAGCTACTATGATTTATATTAACCCATTATTCTGATCTATTTTAGCCATATGGCTTGGTATCTTTTTTAGCGGGGCAGGTTACATCTTGCTTCTCTGTGATCTGGGCAGGAATGGAGGAATGGGCTTCCTCCTTCCTAGCCTTCTCCTGTTCTCATCGCCCCGCCTCTACTTCCTGTCTGGTTGACCCACCTATACTTCCTGCCTGGCCAATCAGCATTTATTTAAACCATGATTGACAGAATACAGATAATTCTCCCACACCAGTGAAGTCACTGCTTTCTCCAGCCACACCAGTCTGGATGTGCCAGGAAGACCTTGCCTGTGTTGGGATCTTAGAAGCATTCACCCTGGGTTTTCTGATTGCGGTTCCATCAGATCTTAAAGATACTGATCCATATTGAATCATTATCTGTACAGGATAAGGGAGTTTTATTCTTCCATATGAATTTTAGATTTTTTTTCTATTTGTGAAGAAACTCATTGGACTTATGTTAAGGATTGCACTGAATGTGTAGCTTGCTTTCAGGAATATAGCCAGTTTTACAATGCTTGTCCAGCTGGTTAACTATCCTTGCAGGAACCACAATACTCTAAATAGAAACATCTGTGCCCCTTTCTTTCGCTATCAGAATATTGAGACAATGAACACCAAGGAATTAGAATTTCTCTTGAAGTCTCATGCTTCAAGAAAGAAAAGAAAAGAAAAAGTTGGTACCCTTGTTTTAGCCAGAGAGGAAGCCTGTCTTCCAGAAAGAGACTTCAGACAACTTGCAGGACAGAGCAGGGGCCAAAACAATGAAGTGTCAGTGATGGGCCAACGAAGGATGTGACCACACCCGACCTGGAGTGTTTAGTTAGCTATGCCTCCTGCTCTCCATTTAAACCTAAACCTCATGTTAGGACATCAAAGATGGATCTGGGGGACCAGTGGACCACTTTGTCCTTCCTCAGAATGACTGTACCTTCAACTGCTTAGTTCTGCAAAATTAAAACAAACCTAGCCCAGCACATACATGCTACACTCCAACAGCACTGTGTCCCCAGCATAGCACATACATGCTACTCTCCAACAGCACCGTGCCCCCCAGCCCAGCACATACATGCTACTCTCCAACAGCACCGTGACCCCAGCCCAGCACTACAGTTAAAATCAAGAAATCATTTCACATTGGCAACTTCTTAAGATAGAAATAAGAAAAGGTATGTAGATTTTATAACAGAAAGTGAGAAATGTCTTACATGTGGACACATCTTGAGTATGTATTGCCTTCATGCATCATGGTCTAAATTAAATGACAATGAGGGACCCGTAATTCTCAGGGAGCTGTGGAGAAATGACCTAGCGAAAAAGGCTAGATCATTTCTCCAGAATAAAAAGAATACCAACAAAAAAACAAATAATAAAAGCATCACAGAATTATCTCTTAAAATTAACATATATTTAGTATAATTATATTGTGCCAATAAAATATTTATTTTAAAAACTCTAAGCAAAAGCCCTGTCATTTCATTTATTTCAAAACACAGATCATAGGGTTAGATGGCTCAGCAGTGATGAGTGCTTTCTCAGAATCCATATGGCACTCACAACCATATACTACTCTACTCTGGTCCCAGGGGATCTGGCACCCTCTCCTGGCCTCTGTGAGCACCAGGCACATACATGGTACATAGTTAGACACAGGCAAAATTCATAAACATACAAAAAATAAATATTCCGAAGACAGATTATTTCATCACTCCTTCCTTGGAATGCTGTCTGTATCCTCCTCTGACCTCAGAGAAAGTCCCAAGCTCCACGTCTTACGTGAATCAGGACAGAAATCTAGTAGGAAGAAATCCTGCTGCAAAGGGTAGCTGTTTTCATCCAACTCGAAAAGGCTCTGGATCTTCAACACACAAGGCTCTGCACCGACTGCCAACAAGGAGTGGAGCAAGTCAGCGGCGACCAAGCCGTAGGTAACTTCTGAAGAAGGTACTGAGGAAGAAAACACACGTGCCCATCAGGACCCTTCAGTTCACAGAAACACATTCTGAAGCCTTTACTTGTTTCCCTTGGTTCCTCAGCCTTCATGCACACCTTAAACTTCTTGTTCTCTACCTCTCTTTCTAGTTCAAGCTGTTGAAGGCAGTCTAGAAAGATCACGGTGTGGTTCCCACTGAGCATCAGAAGCGAGCACAGGCTGTACTCAGTCTGACAGCAGCTCCAGCCATCAGCTTCTGAACAAAGTGATGGGCATGTCACTGGGCTTCAGCAGTCGGGAGCACCTGTACTCGCAGAGGACCTGGGCCTAATTCCCTGCACCCACACAGCCGCTCACAACCGCTCCTGACTCCAGTTCCAGGGGACCCAATGCCCTCTTTTGGTATCTTCTTGTGTGAACTATGCAGGTGAATAAAAACTCATAAATACAAAATGAACTTTTACAAAGGGCATGCCCATACCAGAAAAAGCCTCATACTCGTATTTCTACAGTTTTTAATCACAGCTTCAAGTACATATACAAGCTGAACATCTCTGAACCAGCGTTCTTAGGACCAGAAGATTTTGGAGTATCAGATTTAAAAATGTACATACATTATGAGGTATCTTAGGGATAAGACTCAAATCTAAACATGAAATTCATTATGTTTCCTATTTTTGGATTAGATGCTCAGCCCATTATTAACAAGAAGAGCAACCACTATTATAAAACTAAGAAAACAAAGGAACTGGATTAGTTTGTCCACGTAAGGAGTCTGAGGCTAATGAGGACGGGCACACATGATCATCCGACAGGAGAGATGTGTCTGCTCTCGTCATAGTCTGACTGCCCCTGGCATCACAGCTGAGCATCTTAGAGGATCCTAAAAATCCATTCCCATGATAGCTTACTTTCAGGAATGATGCTATACATTCATCTGTTTGCTGTTATCTAATTATCATTTGTTTAACTACTATTACTAGTGCTTTTGCTGACCAATTAGGAGTTTGGGCTAAAGAAACTGGGAGCTTCCTTCCTTTATCCATGTACGAAGATAGATGTAAAGAGATCTTACCTTCCAACTTATGTAAGCTTTCATTCCTGTTTCACTCAATCTCAACTATCTTCCTACTTTTATACTGACAGGGAAAAGCTTCATCTACAGCACAGTGCCCTTTCCGTCCTGACTACTCCTGTGACCAGCTCCATTGGACAACTGTGTGGTATGGGTTGCTATTTTACCTATCACTCTGTTGAGGCAATCCGGAGAGATGTTGAGAAGAATCTGCTCCATCATCTTTGACCCTACACGGACACAAGTACGATGTCTTCCATCAACTATGGTCATTAAAGCTGGCCTAGAAAAAATAAGAGTATTTAGACTCAGGCGCATGAGCAGAAAGGAATTTAGCAAAGGAAAACAAAACATGATGCAAATTCACCCCTTTACCCGCGTAATCCCAGGTTCTGCCTCTCTGCTTGTCTCTGTCTGTTGTTCACTCTTATTCCCTCTCGTGCTCTCTGCTCTCTTCTGTCCTTCCTTTCTTCATTTCAGCAAACACAAACTGAGTCTCTATAAAAGCCATGGACGGTGCTACATGCTGGTTTACACTCATGACAAGACACACCTCGATCCTTCATCCAAGGATGTAGGGAATTTTATAAGAAGCGGGATTTGGTGTGTGTGTGTGTGTGTGTGTGTGTGTGTGTGTGTGTGTGTGTGTG